CAGGATGTATCAACTATGCTGCAACATACCCTCCCGTCTCAAGTCCCCCCGTCAGACCCTTCACACATTCTTTGTCATTGGAAGAAGCATCCCCTTAAAAGACGGGTGTGTGCCTGCCGTTTAGGCGAGAGCCCCATTTCGTGAAGGAACTCCCTTGCAGCCTTCTAGCGGAGACCATGGCATGCGAAATAATATCACAAAGTTCGACGAGGTGGCTGACGACAGCATACCCCGTTTGAACAAAAGGAGCCACCCCCCTGCACTCAACTGTTTCAAGCACTACGCTTGTGGCCGCCAGCTTCGAAGACGTCTCAAACGAGAGCCCCAATTTGAAAAAGGGCACACCCTTTAGAACGAATGTGCGCGACGCTATTGCGAGAACCCCGTTTCGAACAGGAGCCGCTCTCAATCCAGGTAGCTGATGCAAGCTGTTGCAGCGTGGCGAGCCGCATTTTGAAAACCACCACCACCACCACCACCACGACCACCACCCCCTCCGCCCAAATGGCTGGTATAAGCTTGTCCGAATCATTATATGGTGCTCGGTCCTTGTTTTGAACAGACAACGCCCCGCGCCACTCCTCCCGTTGACCACCCTTCCTCCTCCGATCCCTGTCTCTGGCCTCCGCATGTCCACTTCGGCACAGCCCTCAGGGGGATCGGGGCCCCATAGGCAGCCCCACCGAAGGCCCCAGTGGCAGTTCTTGCATGTGCCCCCCGCGCCCATTTCCGCACACCTCTCAAACGGTTCGTGGCACCGTAGGAGGGCTCCACCGAAGGCCCCAGTGGCAGTGCTCGCATGCGTCTTCCGCACTCATCTCAACACATCCCGCACACGGTTCGTGGCCCCATAGGGAACTTCACCCAAGGCCCCAGTGGCAGTTCTTGCATGCGTCCCCCGCAACAATTTCGGCACGCCCCTCACACGGTTCGTGGCCCCATAGGGGAGGAGCTCCACCGAAGGCCCCAGTGGCAGTGCTCGCACGCGCCCCCCTCACCCACGCTGGTTGGTGGAACCCCTAATTCTGGAGTGGTCCCACGAAGTGAATTGGCTCGTCGAGATATGTATACATATGCGGTTCCGCGTGTAAGTTTACCGCATCTAGCGGCAGCGCTAGAATAAAAAACAATAGCAGCCCCAGCGACGCTGGGTGGGAAACGCAGTGCCCCCACGCCCCCGCCGTCAACACCCCCCAACGCGACAATCGACAGAAAACCTTCAAAGCCTAAGCGCCGCAGTGGCCGGTACCCGCGGAGCCCGTCCAGCAACCACGCAGAAAAGAAAACGTTTACTGTGTTTCCACTCGTCACCGAATCGTTGCCTCAATCGACACTGGTGCCAGAGGGTAATCCTAAGGGCGACCGCCGCGACCGGTCGACCTTTGCGGTCCCTGCCGATGGCTACTCCAAGGAGCTTGACAGCAGCAGCGGGCGGCGGCGCAAAACCTTGCTCCTACCGTCGAGTCGAGATGGCACACTGATGATGCTGCTTTGTAAGATCGCTCGTTGGCGACAGGACACTCGTACACGTCATCAGAAGACGACTCATGGTGCTCGTAGTGCCTACATTCGCCGCGGCCGCGGATGCGGCCAACTGGTGACTCCGAGCAGCGCGTTCAGGAAAGGCTGCAAGAGGGTAGGAGTCCCCCTCACCCATACTAGGGAGCTCCACCACAGGCCCCACTGCCAGTGCTCGCATCCGTCCCCCGCACCCATGTCAGCATACCCCTCACACGGTTCGTGGCCCCATAGGGAGCTCCACCAAATTTGCCCCAATGACGGTGCTCGCATGCGTCCCCTCACCAATTTGGGTGCCTTATAGGGACCTCGGGGCCTTATAGGGAGCCCCACCGAAAGCCCCAGGTGGCAATGCTCGCATGGGCCCACCCTTCACACGATTCGTGGCCCCATCAGGTGCTCGACCACAAGCCCCACTGGCAATGCTCGCATGCGTCCCTCACGCCCATTCCGGCATACCGCATAGGGAGCTCCACCGAAGGCCCCAGTGGCAGCGCTCGCATGCGCCCCCCGCGCCCATTTCGGCACACACACCTCACACGGCTCGTGTGCCCATAGGGAACTTCACCAAAGGCCCCAATGGCAGTGCATACATGCGTCCCCCGCACCCATGTCGGCACCGTAGGGACTTCCACCAAAGGCTCCAACGGTTGTGCTCGTATGCGCCCCCCGCACCCATTTACACCCCTCACGCGGCTCGGGGCCCCATAGGGAGCTAGCTCCCTCGAGGGCCCCAATGGCATTGCTCGCATGCGTCCCCCGCGCCCATTTCGGCACACCCTCACACGCTTCGAGACCCCATAGGGGGCTCCACCGAAGGCCCCCGTGGTAGTGTTCGCATGCGTCCCCTGCAACAATTTCGGCACACACCTCAATGGGTTCGGGGCCCCATAAGGGGGCTCCACCCGAAGCATGGCAGAGCTGACATGCGTCCCCCGCGCCGGTTTCGGCACAGCTCTCACACAGCCCGTGGCTCCATAGC